GCGGGCAGATAACCACCGAGCTGATGAGCTGTCAAAGTTGGCCTCCTCACAGGACATTAACCCTCAGAGATCAACAATTCTCGAGGTACTAGACGCACCAAGCTACACCGATCCCACAGTTGAGTGTCAGTTGCTAAGCACAGACCCCTCTACGTCGAGTTGGACCACCCCGCTCATAAATTATCTACAAAGTGGCGAGCTACCTGAAGACCAGTCCGTTGCAAAATTGATTAAACGCAGGGCGGCACATTTCACTTTGTTAGATAACCAGCTTTACAAGCGAGCAGCCTCAATGCCCCTACTACGCTGCCTCACTCCTTATGAAGCTGAATATGCTGTGAGAGAAGTTCACGAAGGAGTATGTGGCACGCACATCGGCGGCAAAACTTTAGCTCGGAAACTCCTGAGACATGGTTATTACTGGCCCACCATGGTTGAGGACGCGCAGAACTATGTCAAAAAATGTCCGACCTGCCAATTCAATGCTGATGATATACATATGCCAGGGGAAATGCTATCCTCTCTTACATCTCCCTGGCCCTTTGCTCAATGGGGTGTCGACCTGCTCGGCCCTTTCGTTAAAGGCAAAGGAAGCTGCACTTTCCTGGTTGTTGCAGTGGATTACTTTACTAAATGGATAGAAGCTAAACCATTGTCCACAACAACAGAAAGGAAAATAGAAAAATTCTTGTTCAATTCAATATTGTGCAGGTATTCTTTGGTGACCGAGGTCATAAAATATATGCAAACGTGATTTGTAGCTCAGCTCACTAATCTGTGTGCAGGTTCGGCATACCTAAGCGAATCATCGCCGACAATGGGCCACAGTTCCGAGCAGCAGCGCTGAGATCGTTTTGTGACGACTATGGCATTGAGCTCGCTTTGACGTCCGTGTATACCCCACAGCCCAATGGGCAAGCCGAGTCCGCCAATAAAATCGTCTTGCGAGGCCTCAAGACACGTGTTTTGGCTGCGCATTCTAATTGGGTTGACGAGCTCGATAAAGTGCTTTGGTCTTGTCGCACCACACCCAGCTCGGCCACGGGCGAAACCGCTTTCAGCCTGGCCTATGGAGCTGAGGCCGTCATCCCAGTAGAGGTTGGATTGCCATCCGATCGAACAGGCCGGCATGACGACCTCAACAATGAGCAACTTTTGAGAGAGAACCTGGACTTCGTAGAAGAGGTCAGGGAGATGTCGAGAATAAGAGCTGCGGCACATCAAAACCGTGTTGCAAAATTTTACAATAAAAGAGTCCGAGCTCGCCAGTTTCAAGTTGGCGACTTGGTCCTACGTAAAGCTGGATTAACTAACACTCATTCGCTTATGGGCAAGCTCGCTCCTAATTGGGAAGGCCCCTATATGGTTGTTCAAGTTAAACGACCTGGTTCTTACGTGTTAGCAAATATACAAGGACGCCAGTTACCTTACATTTGGAACATACAGAATCTTAGAAAATTTTTCAGTTAGCTTGTATACTATTCTTTTATTTAAGTCGTTATTCGACAGTTGTAAACAAGGGTATACCGGAAACACAGCAAGAATTCAAAGAAATATTCATTTTTGTATTTCATCAAAGATGTTTACATTGAACATACACGCGATATGGATACATTGATCAAATACAAAAATGCAAAAACAAGGTACAAAAAATCAAAAGGAAAAACCCTAAATCTAGTCATCCGTCAGGTCGACGGGCATGGATGCATCAGCAGCGGCTGCGGGAGAGCGAGCAGGAGGGGACCGGGCACCGGGCTCAGAGGCTGGCGCGTTGACCAGGGAGCTGTATGGCACAGCAGCGGGTTGAGAGTTGGGTGGGGTGCTTGAAGGCACTTGCTCAGCCACAGGAGCACCCTCTACCCAGGCATCAAAGGAGGACAGTCCTGCCGGATCTTCCCCGTCCTCCAGCACGGACGGTGGCCAGAAGGGCACACCCTCCTCGTTCAAATCCCACCTCAGCCTCACAGTTGTGTCAGCGAGGGGAGCAAGGCTCTTACCCTGCTCGTCGAGCTCCTCCCCGTCAAAAAAGACCAACTCGCGGATCGGAAAATCCGGGCGGTGTTGCAGCACTTTTCCACGGATCTCGTTGTAGATCTCCGTGGTTACATTTGCTGACGCCACCGCCACAGCGTCCTGAAACGCAGCCGAACCAACGAGCCATTCCGCCCCTTGAGCCCGGGCGATGACGACAGAACGGGCATGGGAAGCTTTTAGCTCGTTTAGTGCTTCCCCGGCAGCAGCAAGGTTTCTGTCCGCCTCGACGACTTGGTGCCTAAGGGAGCTCAGCTCGTGCTTCGCGTGATCCCTGTCGGCCTCAGCTTTCTTCGCCCGCTCTTCAACCCTGGCGGCCTCATCCTTTGCTGCCTGGATCCCGCTCTCCCTTTCAGCTCGAGCTCGCTCTAGCTCCTCGGTGAGCTCATTGATCTTATTGGCGAGCTCGTCCGCTCGGCTCTCAGCAGCCGCGGCTCGGTTCGCCATTTCAGAGCCTTGCAGACGATTTACATCGTCCACAAGGCTGGCTTTCTCAGCAGCCAGTTGCTTGCACTTGGAACCGAGCTCGCTGTTTTGTGTACGAGCCGCCTGATCGCTCTCATAGAGCGCCACAGCGTAGCTGAATGCCTGCCAAGCAACAACAATAGTAAATACCCAATAAAGCAAAAAAAAAAAAAAACATTTAAAGAAGTACGAGCGAATGCTTACATCCATCAGCTTGATCATGGCGACCTGGCCGCCATGCTGCTGCACGAACGCTTTTGCCCGCCGATTATCAGTCGGGGGCACAAAACTGTGCATGGCCTGCACCATGGCGGGCTGGCACTCCGCCCGTATATAGCTGAAACCCTCAGGATAAGCAATCCTGGGGCCCGAGGACGAAGCTGATGCAGAGGCGGGCTCGACTGACGCCCGTGCGGTCGCTAACGGTGCGTCGGGCGAACGCACCGTTGTAGGACGAGCCGCCTGAGCGGGCTGAGTACCCCCGCTTCTTATGCGCCTGGCTAGGGGGACTTCATCCTCCTCGCTCTCTGTATCCTCGCGCGTGCGTCTGCGCGCGCCCGGGGCCGCCGTCTCAACTCTGTGATCCGCACGTGGCCTTGACGACGAGCTGGATCCCCGGTGTGAAGAGCTGCGTGGTTGAGGCGCTGAGGGTGGCCGCTCGTCGAATCGAGTTTGCCGGGGTTGCGCGTTGCTTGCCCCACGCCCTCGGGAACTCTGGGCGCGTTGACGTTGACGTTCCAGTATGCTGCTCATTTCACCTGCACAAACAAACGTATAAGCCTCAGCTCGGCTAGAATCCATGTTATATGATGAAAATATACCTTCGCTGATCAGGTTTGTCACATCGACAAACCCGAACACGGCGAGCTGCTCCGAGGTAACCAGGGCCTCTAGATCTATCAAACCCTCCCCCTGCGCATACTTAAGCAGCTGGTTCTTCAGATCTACATCCTGCGGTAGCAGCTGTGGATAGTTGATGTGGGCGTTTGGCGTGCGCCACTCAGACAGCCGGGCAGCGAGGTCGTTGCTTATCCTTTCTGCTCGTGTGTTGCGAACAAAAATAAATTGTCTCTTCCACATCGCCACTTTGTTCCTCACGTTTTTGAAGAGCTGGCTCTTATCCCTCCCAGAGAGGTAGTACCACTTCGCTCCTCGTGAGTTCGGACACAACCGGCACTGGAATAGCGACCTGAA